TTTTTGCTGCTTTCAGCTTTTGAAAGTGAGCTCACATTAACACTTGCTACTTCCTGCTAAATATTTTCAGCTCAATTTCAGCAGCTTTCAGCTTAAGTTTTCAGCAAGGAGCATTCACACTAACGTTTTCGCAGGAAATGCAATTTTTCTCTACTTCCCACTGGGATTAGTGGAAGCTTGGTTCCACCTGTAAGAACACTACAAGTGGAACAAAGCTGAATAAAATACAGAAAATCTATAATATTTGTTCCGTTGATAGAAACAAAAACATAAAATCTCATGAGGAAAACTTTTTTTTTTCAGAAAGAAAACTTCTTGAACCAAAACGGACCAGAACACAATAGGAGAGTTAATCTGGATAATCTGTGCTGGATTACGCAACAAGAGCTAATCCCATTTCAGCTGTACACTAAGTGTACGCACATTTTCAGCTGAGTGTGCCCTCGTGGGTGAAGTTTGTCCCATGAGGATGTCCTCTTTTTTTAATGTCCTTTGGCACAAAGACAGGAAAACCTCCCGGTTCTGAACGGACCGATCCATGAACCGGACGTCTCTGTAGAACCGGACGTCTCTGTAGAACCGGACGTCTCTGTAGAACCGGACGTCTCTGTAGAACCGGACGTCTCTGTAGAACCGGACGTCTCTGCAGGACCGGACGTCTCTGCAGGACCTGCATTGTTTCACTTACAGAAGGAGCTGCTCTCGTCCTTTGTGCCTTCCATGGTGCCGTCCGGCAGCATCTGGAGGTAGAAGCCATGTCTGCAGTACAGCCGTGTGACGATGCCCTTCAGCTGCGGCTCTGAAGAAAAAAAAAATCAAACAGCGTTAACGACAAATGTTAGCGCCCGGGAACATGTATACACACACACCTGTCAGGTGGCATTTATCAAGACACGTGTCGACCTGTGAGCGTGCACACAGACCGAACCAGAGGTCTGAATATTTACTCAGTGAGATATTTGAACAGAAAAGTGTGGTTGTGTGAGAAAAGTTCAGACGCATTGATGGAACCAACCAAGGCTTTGTTTTTGAGCTGCTCGTTTGGGTGAAGGTTTGTTGCAGATAATTTTAAAAATACATTTCATCTACCTTTGAACAAGGATCTATTTAAATAATGAAACCGTTAAAGGGATCCATGATTAGTTGTAACATTAGACTTTATTTGATAAACATTTATTTTAATTGTAAAATAAAGACTGTAAAAAATACTGTAGGATGTTTAGTTTTTATAATTTTTTTTAAATATATTTTAACACGGACAGAGCCATTTTATTTACACACAAAGCATTCTGGGTAAATGATGACGTGGATAGGTCCTCGGTGCGAGGCTGCTAGCGAGCTATATCCACCCTGAAGGTTAATCTTGGACAATATCTGATGATCGACTCTTTTAAATGAAACCAGAGAGCGTTGACAGAGAGGAGAAGGTAGAAATGACTCAGCCTGGAACTGAAAATATGGATGGAGGACAACAGAGCTGCTTCATGGAAGAAGAAGAACCATATTTCTTCCCTGTGCTTGGTCAATAAAAGTAACATTCACTGACTTCCACAATGTTTTCTCTTCATTTCTTTGAGTGTTCCTGAAAGCCAACAAGTTGCACTTTGGAATGACCTTATTATCAGTGTGCATTGCCAATGCAATGCACACTATTGTGATTCGTTTCCCATCCAAGTCATCTCAATTTTGCCATGTTTCTCCTCCTGCATACTTCGTCCTAGACCTGCCATTGTAATTTATATTTGTAAAGCTCCTGTGCCAAATGAAGGCTATGCCTTTTGGTGCCTGTAAAACTTATAGTTTATGAAATATTAATGTTTAATGAATTATAATGGCAGTCAATGGAGCCTTGTATTGGTCCAATATTGCCCCATGCTGTACTCAACTTGGTACTGCACCATAGTTTAATATTTAATCTCAATAGTTCAGTGTTTACAGTACTAATATGATTGTATTTTGATGTTTTACTATAATATTGTCTTAATACTGCTCTATTGTTGTAATATTATGCAGTTTAGTGTCGATAATTGTATTGGCAATGTGGCCTCTTTCTGCACACATACAAACCAACCCCTGCCACCATCTTCTGCCACAGCTCTACTGGTCTAATGGTCTATGTCATGGACTTTCATGTGGGAGATCAGGGTTCAAAACCCAACTAAAGCAACTTTAACAAAAAAATCTCTTCAAACTTCATATTGTCACACAATTACCTTAATTACAAACACCTGCTGACATGACAGGCACAAGCTGGTATAGAAAACATATTTGAAATGGGTCAAAGTTCATGCTGCAGGCAAAGCCATGCTGCAATGATATGCTACATGGCAATGCACACTTGTTTTTACATCCTAAAAACCCATGTCTAGATGTATCATGTTTTTGATCCGAGTTTGTTTTACAGAATGAAATGTCTGAGTGAGTGCTCATCCAAGACTGGTGATTCCATAGTTTTTGCCAGGGGTTGTAACAAGTTTATGTCTTGAATTTAAAACAACAGATAAATTTGGGATCAATTTTCAGAAGCTGCCTTATAGTAACGCTGCAAAACTATTCTTTATTAGCGTAATGATTTTTTCTTTTGTGTGTTTAGGGTATAAATGTTTGTTTGCCAGGTTCCTATATGCAAAAAAACATATTATTAGCTGTGTTACTCAAATTATTTTTCCCGCAATAACTTTCTGTGAGGACAGCAAAATCATTTTATTCCAGCGCTGCTCCACAAATAAGTTGCCATCTTCATCTAACCTTGTGTGTTGCATTTTGTTCCTGCGGACCGCTCACGCATGACTGAGGAGGAGGGTTCTTTCACTCAGAAATGCTGAGCGAGACTAAATGGTGGCTCAGAAGCAATGTCAGAACGCCGAAGAGTTTCCACAATCAACTTTTAATGAATCGCATCAAATATGGATGAGGACCAAGACGTATGAGGGGAGCTGGCAGTTGGCCCTCATCTGACAGAAGGGAGGTTTTCAGCGAGGAACAGAGAAAACGTGCTCATTTAAACTGTCCCCCAAAAGTCAGTCAAAATCAGTGACTCAGCACAAATCAGTTTGCTTAATTTCTCTCAATAAAGCTTTGCAGCATTATGTATTTATCTTCTGAAAGCTCTTCTAGGGACAAATATTCAACATTTCCGTTTTGTAAACATAGTTTTAAGTAAATGAACCACCTCTTCATGTTCTGCAGAAGCCTGTTAATTATCCATTCAGTCAAATCTGGTGTGTTGGAGCAGAGAAATCTCTTAAAACATTCAGGATAGTGGGAACAAGGACCAGGATTGGACTCTAAAAACACACTTTATGCTTATACAAAATTTTATAATATTACTATTATTATTATTATTATTATTATTATTATTATTATGGTAACGCTTTCTTTTACAGTACCCTTATTACCATATAATTACGAGGTAATAAAAGTAATTGAATGTAATTACTACCTTATTACCAGGTAATTATGTGGTAATTACAGTACAAAGGAAAAACTACTGTTAATAAAACTGCTTTTATTGGGTAAATCAAATTACTAATGAATAGTAACTCAACACTATATTTATAACCAAAAGAATGCAACTAAATTTTGGGGTTGGTGGTTAACTGCAATAAAATATAACTTTAAAACTGTCCAAATTACCTACTACTTATTTAGGTGTTACAAAGTGAATTGTAATATATTACCAGGTAAATGCTACATTACTACAGACAATTAATTACATAGTAAAATTGTACCCTAACTACCACATAATTACATGTAATAAAGTAGTAATTACCATTTAATTACATTTTTTATTACCTTGTAATTACATGGTAATAAGGGTGCCGTAAAAGAAAGCGTTACTATTATTATTATTATTATTATTATTATTATTATTATTATTATTATTATTATTATTATTATTATTATTATTATTAAAGTGGTGGGTTAACTCATCTGCTAACTAAAAATATAGCTTTGCCATCGTTAATCCGCTAAACACGTAAAACAATTGCAAAATCTAACACTAAACAGCTAAACATAAAATATTTTTGCGGAGGCTAACGCTAAACAGCTAAACATGAAAAATTAACAGAAGTTAAGGCTAAACAAGTTGTTAAAATTTTATCGGAACCTAAGGCAAACAAATGTACGGTAATTTTTAGCAGAAGCTAACTCTAAGCAGCTAAACGTAAAAAACTTATCAAAGCTAATGTTAAACGTCTAAACAAGTAAAAATAATAACACTAAACGTAGAAATTTAGCAAAAGCAAACACAAACTGCTAAACGTAATTTTAACTGGAAGCTAAAGCTGAAATACTAAACAAGTAACAATTAGCAGAAGCTAACATTATTAGCTAACTGCTAAGATGACTGCCATTCAGTCTGCGTCACATCATTCTCTCCTTAGAGCTGAAGACTGGTGGGACCGACACAAACCTGTTTGTGTTGGCTTGTTTTCAGACTTAAAGTTGGCAAAACCTAATTTAGCAGAAGCTAACTGGTCTGCAAAAGTTGTTCAAAGTTACTGTAAATCTAACAAAGCCAACAAAATAAAAGGTCCACTTTTAGCTGTTAGCTGATTTGTGCAACATTGCCAACAGCTGGATTTAAATATTTTGACTCTCATCGACTCCTATTGAACCTAAGCTTAAATATATTTTTTTAAAACTGAACATTAAGGTTTTTTTTAACTTTAATCTTACCTTACCTCATATGGTAAATGGTAAGTTATTATTTCAGCTGGTATTTTTCAGAAAGGCTCTAGCTGAAATGGGATTGCAATTCCAGACACTGAAGGTCACACATTGTAAACCTCAGAATTTACTGTTTAATTTATTTATTTATTATTATTATTTTTATTATTGGTGTATCAACAGAACATAGAGCTCCCCTGCTTTGAAATCGACTCAGTAAAAACTGACAGATAAGAGCTCATCCATCCATTCGTCCATCGCCGTACGACAGGACACAAAAGGTCAAACAAGGCGTGTGGTAGTGTGGTAATCTGTTACGTGTTAATCTCAATTTAAGCCTCCGACCACGCACCGAGCCATGCGCAGCTGAATGCAAACCACCACTGTGAGCAGGCGAGTGGCGCGACAAACAAACAGCGTTGACCTTTAGACTCTGCCTCTGTGTCGGCCCGTTTGGGATGATCCGAAACACAGGAAACGATTCCTAGACATGAGGGATTTACTGGTTGTACATCTTCTTAGTTAAGCAAAAAAGTGACCTTCAAGAAAAAAATCTAGTCATTTTTGAGGCCCATGCTCCATGACAGCTGATAACCTCCTAAATATCAGTAAACATTAGAGACCTCAGAGTTGGCTGGACTATCTTTTTAAGTTTCCATGTTCTCCTCTTGTGTGTACGGCTCTTCTCCGTTTCTTACTCCCAGTAGAACTTTGCAACAGACCCCATAAATCCACCCCTGACTCTCAAACGGTGTTTAAGTGTTCCGACGAGAACAAATTAATGCCTGCACCAGTTTAGACGGTGTCCTGGGAGCCTCCAGTAGGTTTTGCGGTGACGTGCCAGAGAAGAATTTGTTCTTTAATCCCACAGACATTTAATGCCAATTATGGAGTGACCTTATTAAGGAGTGGGATTAATTTCATGGATTAGGAATTTCAACCATTTCAGTCACCCTGAAGCCCCGGGATGGGAACCGGGCTGAAGTTATTTCTGCCATCATTACCTCTATTCTCAATTTATGTTCTGACGTTGGACTTGGCTAAACCAGAAATATCGAATTACGTCTTTTTCAAGTTACTTAGGTGAGACTGACAGACAGATACGTACCTCTCATTTCCTACTTT